GAGAGGTATGAAGGGTGCAGGATTGGTCGCCATCCATCTCTTCCCACTCCTTCTAACCTTTAACACATCCCTTTTGCTCTCTGATTTTCCGTCGAGTGCACAATATGCTTGGTAGATTAAGGGATGGTCGATTCTTCGACGAATAATTCTGTTAACACAAATTTCTTGCTTGAAATAGTAATCTCGGAGAATGAAGAAATATGATGTTATCTGCAAACAATGTAGTGGATAATGTCAGATATTTGAAATATTAAGTTTTGTGCCACACGATATTCGTAAATTTATGGCTCATTGCAAATCGTCCAAGATTTTCCTATGGGAAACGTTGATACAGGGAAGAAACATCTACGATCTTTTTCTCATGATTTAAATTTAAAGATTTGGAAGTTTCGAAATTTTTCAAATTTCGAAATTTGAAGATTTAGAAAAGAGACTTTGAATATTACGTATTATGAAATTTAGATATTTAAACATTTAGGCATTTTAGGATTTTAGTATTTTGGCAGTTTGGCATTTTGGTAGTTAGGTATTGAGGCATTAAGGTATTTAGGGATTTAGGGATTTAAGGATTTGGGAGTACATAAATTTGCGATTATAGGATTTAGGAATTTGGAAACTTGCGAATTCGAAATCTGAAAAGCTTTTAAGCTTAAAAATTTTAGAAGGTGCGAAAATTTGAAGTTACGGATATTAGGAAATTGATAATTTGAAATTTAGAGAATTTGAAAATTTAAAAATCAGGAATTTAGAAATTTAAAAGATTGTACATTAAGAATGTAATTACATATAATTACATTCATAATAAATCAAGAATAAATAAAGAATGTAATTCAGAATGTATTAAATTTTAAAATTTAAGTATTCAGAGATTTAGAGGTTAAAAAATCTGGAAATTTGAAAAATGACAAATCTGGAAATTTATGAAACTGAAAATTTCTATCTAAAATTTAAAATCGTACTGCCATAAAATAGAACAATGAAATTCTATCTTTACGCGACAGTACATCAATGTTACGTCAATCACGAAAAGACCGAATCGGAGCAACTCGCGCCTATGAGGGTTGTAAGTCCCCACTCGAATTATTTCAATGTCCCGAATTAACGCACTTCCTAACCGGTAGTTACCGCGGTAAGGATGATTCTATGGGTGTTTGAATTAGAGACTATGTTTGAACTTTAACTAAAATGCTGTTTATTTTAAAAAGACTATGAAGTTTGAAAGTGTATGATCGTGTCGGATATTTGTAAAGTTCTGATTTTTGGGTGATGAGATGTCGTGTAGGTAAGTTCGTGTGGGTGTGTTTAACGGGGTAGTGTCAGGGGATAGTTGTCTGTGATTGGTGTGAAAAAATGTGTAGTGAGGGGTCTTAAGTAACCGCCTGATCTTAAGTGACCGCCCACATGTGACGTCAGGGTTTTTGGGAAAAACCCTGAAATGGTCATGTTGCCTTGATTTATTAGATGGACCCTTGACTTTAGCAAACAATAAAATTAGGATGCGCCTTGACGTGAAGAAAACATGTGTTTGGAAAAAGCGAAAAGCTAAAAACTATTACCGGCAATAAACATGGGCAAACGGTGACTCTAAAGAAACTCGCGGGGTTCGTACTGGCTTCATGAGTTTATTGCTGCTGTAGAGAGTCAGAATTCGTGCGGACGACGATTGTACTTGTGTAAATATTTACTGTTCTTTACGAAAATAACGGACGCGGTATCTGGCCGCGTAACATCAATGTAGTGTTATGCAACTAATTCAAAATGAACGTTAAATGAATGCACTGTAAAGAGAGCTACGCTAATTACGTTTACGAAACAACGGTAATAGACGTGCCGTATTGTACAACAGACACTTGCCTGATGTTCAACGGGTTTAATTCGAAATTTGTTACTCGAAGACTGAAAACGTAATTTGGCTTTGCGAGGAGCAGAACGTGTCTTATTGTCGTAGCATTGTTAGGTTGAAACTTAGTTAAATCAAGGATAAAATGCAATTTGTTTGCAGAAACTATTGTTAGAGGAAACGTCAGAGTTTAGCTGAAAAACTGCAGTTTATAATGAAAATCGCTCGTGTCAGAATGAACAAATACCTTGCAAATCTGCCATAAAATCACGTCAATTTAAATCCATACAATACTTAATATTTTATTTAGAAATGTATTTATATGGGGTCAAATATTTTGCTTTATTGTATAAAAACAAAAATGCAGATTGTTGCCAATTTCAACTATATCATTTTTCAGTAATTTTGGAATCACAACAAATATTATAAAGAATGATCTGATTATAAAAAATAGTGCGAAGTGAATAGAACTATGTTGTTGTACTGAAGTACTTAATTATAGTACGTTTAACATTTACATACTGTTTTAACTAATAAGGTAAATATTATTTTGGAAGTATCGATTCCATTCAAACTTCCTGCAATTATTAAACACATCGAAAATAATAATTTTGCAAAATTAGTGCACACAACTTTAAAAAATGAGGGAGTAATTTTGTTGAAGTGTTTTCAGAATTCGCGCCTTAACATATACACTGGACATGCGGGGAGACCTTAGGCTCCTGCGGAAAAGAAATGAATGGTGTCGCGTCCTAACGCTACATTATTGCGCGCTTTTTATTCTGTCCATCGTAATTAATTATCAATGATTTTATATTACTGTTCTAACTCCGAACATGGTCTTTAACTCTAACAACTTTTATAAAACACGAATAAATAATAGTTACAAGTTTATTGATTAGTTTCAATTAGTAACGATTTTTCGGGTAGATACTCCACTAAAATTCTCATTTTTAAGGTATTTTGTTATTTTTATTATTATATGTTTAAATTGGAGCCATTAGAATTGGTAATAAAAGAAAAACCTTTACATCTGAATTTGAATACAAAGACAATTCGGACGAAAATGGTTCAAAGAGTTTAAGAGAACGAATAACTAAACAGCTTATTGCTAATTATATTCATTCATTTTAAGAATTAAGACAGTCCTTATGGGTATAATAAACCTTTTATTTTTTTTTTAGACAGCACTTCCAATTTTATTTGATAATAAACATACATCATCCAAGGCCGTAGAATAAAAAGTTTGTTAGTCAGTGCTTGCGAATGCTTTAAAATTTATTTAGATGCAGACCCTCAAATATCACGCAATAATGAAAAATGGACTTGCCCACTTTCAGAATGAATCGCATTAAGATTGACGGTTTTGTAGAGATTTCCTGTGCATTTGGGAGCAGTTATGCTTGTCCGTACATTTACCAACAACTCACATTCAGCTAATCCTCCTCAGCACTCCATCGACGCTACAATATGCGTAGCATATTGTAATCTACGAGCTGACCACCGTCTAGGCGGCTGCTGGCAATGATGATATCAAATCTGATTGACGCGTTAGCTGTACGCCCACAATCCCAATCCCGTTTCGTGCTATGCTACCATCATCGTACATTACATATACAACCGGCATGATACGCATTTTGAGTACGATTGATCGTACGTGGAACAGTCAGTGGGCAACAAAGTAGTGATTCCAAAGGTACGAATATTTATAAACTACTCCGACACGTGTGTGCGCAGCTATATACAAATTTGAAAATTTGTAAAATTACAAAGTTCAAAAGTAAAAAATTGAAAATTTATAAGGTCTCAAAATTTGAAAACTTGTACATGTGTAAATTTGTACTCTTACGAATTTCGAAAATAAATATTTGAGATTTACAAGTTCTTAAATTTTTAAGGTTCCACACATAAAGTAATTGAAATAATTTGGCGAAGGTGCAAGGTTTTACCGAATGAGTATCGTGGACACGTTTAAAATACCTTAGGCTTTCTTATTTTGTTTTTTCACTGGAAAAGCCAATATAAGAATATTTTTAACGATACCAATTCGTCCTACGGACACCTCTGCTAGCATGGTTATTTAAGGCACTTGGGTCTGGAGGAACTTTCTTTAGGCACCGTCGTATCGATTCCATTCAAACTTCCTGCAATTATTAAACACATCGAAAATAATAATTTTGCAAAATTAGTGCACACAACTTTAAAAAATGAGGGAGTAATTTTGTTGAAGTGTTTTCAGAATTCGCGCCTTAACATATACACTGGACATGCGGGGAGACCTTAGGCTCCTGCGGAAAAGAAATGAATGGTGTCGCGTCCTAACGCTACATTATTGCGCGCTTTTTATTCTGTCCATCGTAATTAATTATCAATGATTTTATATTACTGTTCTAACTCCGAACATGGTCTTTAACTCTAACAACTTTTATAAAACACGAATAAATAATAGTTACAAGTTTATTGATTAGTTTCAATTAGTAACGATTTTTCGGGTAGATACTCCACTAAAATTCTCATTTTTAAGGTATTTTGTTATTTTTATTATTATATGTTTAAATTGGAGCCATTAGAATTGGTAATAAAAGAAAAACCTTTACATCTGAATTTGAATACAAAGACAATTCGGACGAAAATGGTTCAAAGAGTTTAAGAGAACGAATAACTAAACAGCTTATTGCTAATTATATTCATTCATTTTAAGAATTAAGACAGTCCTTATGGGTATAATAAACCTTTTATTTTTTTTTTAGACAGCACTTCCAATTTTATTTGATAATAAACATACATCATCCAAGGCCGTAGAATAAAAAGTTTGTTAGTCAGTGCTTGCGAATGCTTTAAAATTTATTTAGATGCAGACCCTCAAATATCACGCAATAATGAAAAATGGACTTGCCCACTTTCAGAATGAATCGCATTAAGATTGACGGTTTTGTAGAGATTTCCTGTGCATTTGGGAGCAGTTATGCTTGTCCGTACATTTACCAACAACTCACATTCAGCTAATCCTCCTCAGCACTCCATCGACGCTACAATATGCGTAGCATATTGTAATCTACGAGCTGACCACCGTCTAGGCGGCTGCTGGCAATGATGATATCAAATCTGATTGACGCGTTAGCTGTACGCCCACAATCCCAATCCCGTTTCGTGCTATGCTACCATCATCGTACATTACATATACAACCGGCATGATACGCATTTTGAGTACGATTGATCGTACGTGGAACAGTCAGTGGGCAACAAAGTAGTGATTCCAAAGGTACGAATATTTATAAACTACTCCGACACGTGTGTGCGCAGCTATATACAAATTTGAAAATTTGTAAAATTACAAAGTTCAAAAGTAAAAAATTGAAAATTTATAAGGTCTCAAAATTTGAAAACTTGTACATGTGTAAATTTGTACTCTTACGAATTTCGAAAATAAATATTTGAGATTTACAAGTTCTTAAATTTTTAAGGTTCCACACATAAAGTAATTGAAATAATTTGGCGAAGGTGCAAGGTTTTACCGAATGAGTATCGTGGACACGTTTAAAATACCTTAGGCTTTCTTATTTTGTTTTTTCACTGGAAAAGCCAATATAAGAATATTTTTAACGATACCAATTCGTCCTACGGACACCTCTGCTAGCATGGTTATTTAAGGCACTTGGGTCTGGAGGAACTTTCTTTAGGCACCGTCTATACCAGGGGTGGCCAACCTGCGGCTCGCGAGCCACATGCGGCTCTTTAAAGGATTATTTGTGGCTCTCGATGAATGTACCAAGTTCCCTTTTCATTTTTGTGCTATTATATTTTAAAAAATTATTATCGTTCCATATGTGTTTCAAAATTACTGACGACAAATATGAAAGACTAAGTGCAACGTTGAAACAAATTTCATTTCCGTCCAAGTTAAGAATAATATGACTCATCGAAAACTGCGCCATCGAAAATTGCGGCTCGCGAAACATTTCAAACTTTGAAAAATGGCTTCGACTATCAAGGAACTTAGCCACCCCTGGTCTATACTATGCCAATAAATGGTGCTAGAAACCTTGCCAGTAGGAATTCGAATGCTTATGTATGTTTCTTGCTTTGTCTTTATGAGGTATATGATCGAAATAATTTTTTTTTAGGGATTTTTAAGAATTTTAGAATTTGGAGGTGTGCAAATCTAGAAATTTGGAAATCCAGTGATTTAGGGGTTTAGGAATTTGGGATTTAGCTATTTGGGGGCAACAGATTTAGACTTATATGCATTTGAGATTGTAGGGATTTGGGATGTAGGAATTTTAGGATTTAAGAATTTGAGAAGTTAGCTATTGGGGGAGGGGGGGTCCAGAAATTTGGGAATGGCGGAATTTGGGAACTTAACAATTGCGGAGTCTAAAAATTTGGGGATGTAGAGAATTTCCTACATGAAAAATTCTTAGATATCTAGATTTATATATTTCAAACTGCTTAATTATTAAAATTTTACATTTTTAGATTTTCAAACGTCTTAATAATTAAATTTAAAAATTTCGATGGTTCTATAATTCCAACTTTCTAAATTTTCAAATTTAAACAATTTTAAATTTAAACATTTTTTAATTTCTGCATTTTATGTACCCGCCTTCGTGAATGTACAAATTAAAAAATTTCTGAAATAAAATAAACCAATAACATTTATAAATCTACAATTTTCCTACTTTCTAGATTACCATATTTCCAACATAATAAATTTCCAAGTTTCTAGACTATTGAACACTCATGTTCCTACATTTTCGAAATGTACGAAATACTTCAAGAAATGTCTATTTCCAAATTTATAAGTTGCTAAATATTCATTCTGATTTTCCCACTTATTATGTCAGAGAACTTAACAACTCGAAAACTTGATAACCGGAATATAAAAGACTTGAATATTTAAGCACCTAAAAATTGAAAAACTTGAAATCCTGAAAATTGGTGAATTCGTAGTTAACTTACCAATCCCTACAAAAGCCATATAACGCGACAGCATCATCTGTCGTCTCAATCCTGCAAACATGATATCGCACAATATCGAACTAATTGTAAGCCATGAAAAAATAATTAATATCGTACCAAATGGTGATCATATTACATTATATATGATTCACAATGATTGATTGAAATGAATGTATGCATATCAAACGAACATTGTCCAACCATCCCGTGAATATCAAATTATCTCCCTTTCTCTATGAATAAGGTACCTAATAGAATCGATCAAGGGTATCGATGATACAACACTTGGCACAATCGACGTCGCCATCGTGTATTTACACTCGTTCCATACACAAGCACGCTACGTGGTAGTCGGATTATGTGCAGGTTGCGTCTCTGAAACGAATTGCAACCACTCCTCTAATTTCTCTACTGTACACTATCACACACTCCATGTGTATTTGAACCCAAATACAAATACACATACGCACAAACACATATACTCATTCGTACAAGTTTTACGTGGATAGATACAAGGACGCGAATCGTGCAAAGCATCGATTCCATCGATAGCTAGCCAAAAACTGATTCATACTGTTTGCCCATATTCCAGCTATTTACCAACCTGTTCCTGATTCTGGGTCAATCTCGTTGGACGAGGATTTCGTGCTTTTGCGGTTATTAGTGGCAGCGGTCGCTATTAAGGATTCAGGCCGTCCTATTGGCTCGCTGATTCGCTCGTGGATCGTGAATGAGGACGAATCGAGGCTTTTTGCCGTGGTAAAGATTCAACTGATTGAATGCTGGCTACGATGACGATTTCTGAAATGAACTTCGATGAACTAACTCTGAGTTACAATGAGATTTCGAGATGCAATCACGATTGTGCAACGACTCTATTTCGTTAAGTTTATTGTACCCTTCGATGTTAGTGTTTTATGAAATTACTTGATTCTAGTTTTAATTTCCTTTTTCAGGCTTGCAGGTGTTAGGTGCTGTGTATTAATTTTCTGGTTTGAAAAGCAGAAAGTTGGATACGATTTTATGACATAAATGTACAATTATTATTACTGCAATATTTATGTTATATCAATTTGAAGCTTGATGTACAATGAAAATGTCTATTATACAGATTTTATTAACATGAAGTTTAATAATAATTTAAGGACATAAGTCTATCAAAGTACTACTTGTATCATATCGATTTGAGGCGTAATGTTTGTTGAAAATGGCCATATTAACTGTTTGTTCGTGTTCTTAATATCCTATTGTTAATTGCCAAATGACCACCTTAATGCATAAAAACATGATAATATATATGATTGCCTAACTACTAGTCAATTCGTTTTCTGGAATTACATGAAATGATATCAATAAATTTTACAAATTTGAGAATTTGTGATTTGAAAAATATGTGAACATTAAAGATTTTCAAGTATCTTTATTTAAAAATGACTAAATATTGAATTTGTGAAACTGTATATTTCTAACCTTGTAAATATGTAGATTTTCAGATTTGTGGATTTCCTGATTTGTAGATTTGAAAATGTGTACATTTTTTAACTTTTAAATTTGTAAACTCGTAAACTTGTAAACATGTAAATTTGTGAACTTGAGAACTCGTGAACATGTAAACTAATAAATTAAGAAACTAGAAATGTAGAAAACTACAAAATTAGAAAATTGGAAAATGATACAATTAGAGAAATACGAAATCAAACAATTAGAAGATCAGATAATAACAATTAAACAATAAGACAATAAAACAATGAGATAATAACACAATAAGGCATTAAGATAATAAGACAATCAAACAATCAGACAAACATGCAATTAGGCAATGAGTCAATTAGATGATTGGATAGTTAGAAAATTAGGAAATTAGATAATTAGAAAATTTGGAAATTGCAAAATTAGAAAATTGGGAAATTGAGAAATTTGGAAATTAGGAAATTGGGAAATTGGGAAATTAGGAAATTGGGAAATTAGAAAGTAAAAAATTAGAAAATTGGGCAATTGGGCAATTGCGACGTTGGGAAATTGAGAAATTAGAAAAGTAGAAAATTGGGAAATAGGAAAGTTGGGAAATTGGAAAATTAGGAAATTAGGAAATTAGGAAATTAGGAAATTAGGAAATTAGGAAATTAGAAAATTAGAAAATTAAAAAATTAGAAAATTGGGAAGTGAGAAAATGAGAAAATGAGAAAATGAGAAAATGAGAAAATGAGAAAATTAGGAAATTAGAAAATTAGGAAATTAGGAAATTGAGAAATTAGGAAATTAGGAAATTAGGAAATTGAGAAATTTGGAAATTAGGAAATTTAAAAATTAATTTTAAAAATTGAAAATCAATGATTTAAAAAATTTGTATTCAAATTATTCTACTTCCTAAAATCTAGCTATCATATCTATTAACATCTAATTTGCCAATAAATTAAAATATTTTATTTTAAAAATGGTCTGTCACATTCTGCCAAACTCAAGTTCAGAATACAAATTTTTTGCAGAGAGCCCTAATAACTCTACAGAAGGCCAAATTAAAATGCATCATTTCTGCCAACGTATCATAAAACCTATCGTAATAATGAAATTCCTGTCACTGCCGTCGTGATATCAATTAGTACGAATGTCCCACTACAAACGTCTCTCGCTAAGCTTTTTCCTCCGTCCACGTCACGAATGTGCAGTCATTAGGCAGAATCAATAATTTTTATTTTGCACACGTATTTCAATAAAAACTACCGTAAACGTTCGTAAATGGCTATCATGATATTCAAATCGCGCTCGCATCACCGATATTACTATCCTTTTCATGACACATTAAGCTTGCATCCCTTTAACTACCCTGAAACTGTTCGTGTCTCTCTGGCTATGTGCTTTTAACCGGGCTATATATTAGAAACGACGTCGATCGAGTCATTTTATTTTATCAATTTATAGATGTTGAAAAGAGCTTGGAAACGGAAACGTGCTCCTTGGAGATTTTCAGTGGATGCTCGAGTGGCGTTGAAACTGACGATCATTTCCTTTTAGAGTTTTGATGAAGTTAATTTTCTATGAACCACTTCGACTCTTCTAGCTTCTCCACGTGAAATATTTTATTTCTGCCTTTTCACGATACTATAATGGTTCAATAAGTAAGTTTTCTTGTTAAGCTTTCCATTTTCTATAATATCCGTGATACTCTTAGTAGAGGAACATGAAGAGAGACTTAACAAATTTAATTGCGACACGTAAACTTATCAAAATGATTCATTAATATTTTATTTTAAATTGTGAAAGTCTTTTTGTTAAAATGTATATTGATTTTTATGAAGTATTGATCTTCAGTTCTTTACTAACACATTTTTTGAATTTAATTTGAATTTAGAATGAGTCGTGTAGTGTTAATGTTAATGTTTAATATTTAATATTTTGTAATAAAACGTTTCCTTTTTACCTAAGCTTTTAAGATTAAGAAATTCCCAAAGCAGTTAAATTCAGATATGAGTCGGATTTGACTTCGGATATAAATCGAAGTAAAATTAGAAATTTCCCTAACATATAAATAATGCTCGTTGATCGTGAACTCTTCGGGAAGCAACAGTTTCGTGATTTTCTCGACGAAACGAACGATACGGGATTTGATCAGGGCAACGTAATTATTCGCGTCTCGTTAATCCGCGTCACGTCGCGTCGTTCCGACGGATATTTCATAAATCACGACAGGGTGTGCTCCGCGATGAAAAAAAAAGTGATCGACAAAATGATGCGCTCGTCGGCTCACGAAGTTGCTCGTCAAACGGCAGCCGCATTGTTTTACGATCTCAACGCCACGGCGAAATTAATCGGTCATACTGTAGCCGGGGCCCGAACATCGACGATTAATTTCTCATTTTATCGCCTTCTGATGTAGATTAATTAACTCTGTACAGCGCTGTGATATTCGCCTTCTAGATAGGCTCGTTCAAGCATAAAATTCGAACGAAGAACTTTGAAATTACGACACAATGCGATTAATTCGCCGATATTTACATCGATACCGACAGAGATTTTAGCAAACTGAACAATGCAGTGAAACGGGCTATATACGGAATGTTCCATTTCAAACAAACGATTATCTTCGGGATTATATATGAAACCGAGAAACTTTTCAAATAAAAGTAAAATTCGAGGGAGACAATTTATTAATTACGTTTTTTATAAGGAGGTAGGTCAAGATAATGGGACGCCACATTTAAATTTTCAAATAGAGAAATTAAGAAATTGAAAGATTGCGAGATTACGAGATTGTGAGAGTGAAAAATTGAAGGATTAAGGGATTGGGAGATTGAGAAATTGAGAGACTGAAAAATTATGCAATTGAGAAATCGAGAAATTGAGGAATTGAGGAATTGAGGAATTGAGAAATTAAAAATTTTTATTTTTCAAATCATCAAATTTACAAATTTTAAGTTTATAAACTTTTCAAGTGACAAGTTGTTGAAACATGAAAAATTAATAATGTTTTAAATTATTAATCATCAAAATTAGAATATCAGAAAATGTTTTTACAAATGTAAGATTAAATGAAAAAATTTATAAAGTTAGACTTAGCAGTTAATATTGATTTGAAAATGGTTGCAAAATAAATCAGGTTTTGCAATTAATATTTGTTTTTGAAAAGGTTGCAAAATAAATTGTATTTTGCTGTTAATGCTGCTTTTAAAAAAGTTGAAAAGTAAATTAGATTGTGCAGTTACTATTGATTTGTAAAACGTTGCAAAATAAATCAAATTTAGCAGTTGATATTGACTTGAAAAGAGTGACAAAATAAATGAAATTTGTCAGTAATATTGGTTTTGAAAAGGTTGCAAAATAAATTATATTTTGTAGTTAATATTAATTTGTAAAACGTTACAAAATAAATCAGATTTTGCAAGTCAATATCGAAGTTGAAAAGGTTGCAAAACAAATTGTATTATGCAGTTAATATTGATTTTAAATTCACAACTTCAATTTGATCGTGATACTCGTTCTCCTTTGTACAAATAATTACAGACAGAACTCGGAAAATGATATGTCGCTCTGAGTAAAAGTAAACTGAACCGGGTCGATTGAAAATATTTATTCAAGAACTGAGAAATTGCTACGTGCTCAAGGATGTATACGAAGAAATGAAAATTTTTAATAATTATCAACTATCAAACAAAATGCAAGAATTAAAAATCAGAAAATTTGAAATTGAATAATCAAATTAGCTCGACGTAATTAACTTCTATTATTATACTGAAAAGTAATGTTACATAACATAGCTGAATCGATTAAAATATTTTATTCAATTATTTTAATCTCATTATTCTCTTCTTCGTAAAATATTTTACATAGCAACGAACTAGTAATAATTCAGCCCAAATATTTTACTAACATACTATAATGTTATAATGCTTCCATTTTATATGAAACGTTTACAGTTGGATCCTGAAGTCTAAAATCAACTTCTGAAACCGAATTTGAAAGGACCAGAGCAATCATTACAACCACACGGATTTCTCAAATTCAAGAAGTTAATCAAAACTGATAGAACCTTCTTAATTTACATAATCAAACAGATGTTACGGTTCAGTTTAAACTGCGAATAGATTTTGATCAACAGAGGTGTAATGTCTACATGTACGAATTTTCAAATTTTTACATCAACTTGACAAACTTACGAATAACTTAATTTCCAAATGTTTCAACCCGTCAATTTCTAAATCGATGTGTTCCCATCATCTCCACTTTTCAAATTTTATAATTTCCAATTCTACAAATTCCAAGATTCGTTATTAAAAAGTCACAAAGTTTTAAGTTTCAGAATTAATAAACTTTGAAATTTCCAGATTGCTATATTAGTAATTTCCTAATTCCTCAAATTCCTAATATCAAAAATTTCTGAATTTCTGAATTTCTGAATTCCTGAATTCCTGAATTCCTGAATTCCTAAACCCCTAAACCCCTAAATTCCTATCTTAATTTTCTAAATCTCAAAATCTCAATTCCTTAAATCACATAATTCTCAAAATTTGTACAGTGCAGATCTGTGCATTATGTATTTCAATCTCATCAAAATATCAAAACTATAAGAAAACGAATAAGAACATCAAACTATTTTGATACAGTCTTCTTGTGCGACAGTAGCAAGGTGGGTATACTCTGCATGATTTCGCAATTACGAAAAATTTATGCGAGGTATAAAAGCGGACACGGTCTTGGCGACTTTGCACGTTAAAGTTTCCACAGAAAGGGTTTCAGGGCTGAATGACTTGCTCGGTACGGTAGTTACTTTTAATTAGAGCGCCAGAACGCTCTATCTTCGAGCGTTTAAAGGGAGTACAGAACAGC